AGTTTCATTTCACCATCCTACGACAGCTTTTTTCAGTGAATATTATGGATACAGTAGGAAACTTTGTTAAAACCGCCAACAGTTTTTTCTTCCTATGTGTCCAATTGGGATTTTTTTTTCTTCACTTCCCACAGCAAAATGAGAGAAAATACCTCCAAAGTGAAACTCTGTCTTATACAGTTACCACCAGAAAATGCTCACAATTTCAACTTTTCTCTCACTTTCAGTCCAGGGTGACAATGGTCACCAGGACAAATAAAGAGGGTGGTGTCCCAAGCAGGGACACCATATGCAATAACTGATGGAGATTCTAACCCTTCCCTATTCCATCTAGATTAAAAAAACACATGACTTTAGTTATGCTTTAATACCAGCCCGAACCTACTGTGGTCTATTATTTGTATTAGATGGAACATGTAAAAAGTTTATTTTCTGTGTATTTGCACTTTGTTCCTTTCTTTCAAAAAAATGTCCTTTGTTTTACACATAATTCCTAACTTGAGACTTTATGACAAAGGAAGCTATGTATAGCACTGACCCCCAACCACCAAGCCATGATCTACCTGCATTGCAGAGAGAAGCCAAGAAACATAGTGATGGAATAAATAGGTCTAAAATAAGTTGTGTAATAAAAACAGAAAGGTTTTATTTAAAATTGTCATTAGCAGGTTATTGAGGAGTAAAAAGGGGGAAGCGTAAAAAAGCAGATTAAGCTTTAGCTTTAAGAGCACAAAGAAAATTTAGGGCAGGGGTGGAGACATTTATTTGGAATCCAGGAGCCAGCTCCATTGACAAAAACTAGAGAAAACTTCAAAAGTTAGGTGCCAGCCGTACTTTTTAAGGCGCATTGGCAACCTGGTTCCTGGAATTTGTCTAGCCCTGATTTAGGCAGATTTATACAAACTCAAGTAACTGAACAGGCTTGAGCTGCCATCAGCAACCAGTAGATGTTTTCTTTTAGATATGGCTTAACAAGGCACTGAGAAGGCAATTATAATACAAGCACAGCCACCAAAAGCAACCAGCTAGAATGCATACCGTATATACTCGAGTATAAGCCGAGATTTTCAGCCCATTTTTTTGGGTGAAAAGTGCCCCCCTCGGCTTATACTCGAGTCAGCGCCAGCGCGTCTTCTTACTTACATCGCCGAGCGTCGCGTCACTGCTGCTCGGTGTGCGGCGCTCCGAGCGGGGTCATCTGGCAGTCTTAGAGAGAGAGATTAATTAAGCAATTATATATGTATTGTCTGCACTGTATTAGCAGTATATACTCTATATAGAGTATATACTGCTAATACAGTGCAGACAATACATTTACAATTATACTAACATGAATGTATTAAATGATCTGTATGTAGCCCTGTACTATGGATCATTTAACCCATTCATGTTAGCAGAGGATCATTGTAAATGTATTGTTGCAGGCACTCTATATGTACATGTACTATATACTACATATAGAGTGCACTGAACAATAGATTTACAATTATCCTCTGCTAATATGAATGGGTTAAATGATCCGTAGTACATGATATGTAGACCTGTACCCCCTTTTCCACTTACAGAGCTAGGTTATTTTTCTTTTAAATAAATATTAATGTATTTTAATGGTATCTACCAGTAGCTGCCTCATTTCCCACCCTCGGCTTATATTCGGGTCAATACTTTTTCCCAGTTTTTTTGGCTAAAATTAGGTACCTCGGCTTATATTCGGGACGGCTTATACTCGAGTATATACGGTATTTATTCATCTAAATGCAGTAAAATAAAATTGGACAGGTTGCTGTAGGTTAATGAATTATGCCCATCCTTGCTGCCCCAACAGGATTTCCACTTTATAATTCATTGATTTCTACTGAGGGTTTAAAAAAAAAAATCAAATGAATTAAATAAAATGTTGTACAGACTTGTCATTGCACATCAAAACAGGTCTTTGATGCATAAACGATTTCGGTGAGACACATGCTCAGCACATGAGTATTCTGAGCCAGAAGATAAAAGCGTCTGTATGAAGGAGATATTGTAAGAAACCGGGAGAAAGGGAATTAAAAAAATAAAAAAAAAAGAGAAAGAAGGTCGGAGGTGAGATAGAGAGAAACATATAGACAGTTGCAGAAAGAAATGGAGAGATCAGTCCTGTAAGCCAAAGATCCCTAGGCAACTACAATATATTAAATTAATTCTCAAAATATGATATCCAAGAAGCCCCTCAGGTCTTTCTCTGTGTTTATTTATCCAGATACTGAATAACTTGTCATCCTTAGTGTACCTAGGTATCCCCTATGAAACAAATTGTACATAAAAGCCACACATGGCCAAAAAGTTATAAAAATATGTGGAGTATCCATTATTGTTTGGAAGATGGGTTGGGACAGTTGACCAATATATCCACTCCAGAATAATTCAGAATATAAGAAGTCACTGGTCCAGCCAATGCACATGGGTTTGCTAACTTTTTGGTGCATTCCATAACAAGTTACTATGCTCTCTAGTAAATTTTGCAACTCTGCTGCATACCTTTACACACATATAAGTATTACCAATGTCTGTAATTGCATGGAGCATGGATGTTGTGGATCTGTAACCATTTTGTATATTTGTATTGTCACTGTTTGGCTCTAGCAGCTATCCCAAGTTTTTGGCAATAATAATGTTCTAAGCAAAAATGTTTTTGTTTGAATGTTTTTTTGTGTTTAATACACTAAATTAAAAACATGTTTTATGTTTAAACTTAGTTTCTCAATAGCCAGTTGAACAAGTTAAGGTGATTTTGGCCATGAGAGAAATAAAACAAAATAGGTTTCTAAGAGGCCTTGTGGATATCCTGAATTGTCTGTTCAGGAGAATTTCAAAATGTATTTTTATTAATCAAATGTATCAAAGAGAAGAGCCAAAAGCAAAACCTGCATGTTGGTCAACCAAATGAAGTAAATACATTCCTTCTGCTTACAGATGTAAAACTAAAATAAAGAGACCATATAATAAAATCTGCTATCCAGGAAGGGATCATGTAGCGTTACATTAAGACCTTGTTACCCACTTCAGCCAATAAAGTAATTATGGAGGCTTTGGATTTTTGATTAGACCTTTTAAATTCTTCTAGATCAATTACACATCATCACATGGTAATATAGAGTCCTGGCCAGACGTTTTGAGAATGACACAAATATGAATTTTCACAAAGTCTGCTGCTTCAGTGTTTACTATGATATACTGAAGTATAATTACAAGTATTTCATAAGTGTCAGAGCTTTTATTGACAATTACATTAAGTTTATGCAAAGAGTCAATATTTGCAGTGTTGACCCTTCTTTTTCAAGACCTCTGCAATTAGCCCTGGCATGCTGTCAATCCACTTCTCGGCCACATCCTGACTGATGACAGTCCATTCTTGCATAATCAATGCTTGGAGTGTGTCAGAAGATGTGGGGATTTTTTTCTTCAACCGCCTCTTGATGATTAACCACAAGTTCCAAATGGGATTAAGTTTCCTGGCCATGGACCCAAACCTTCGATGTTTTGTTCCCCAAGCCACTTCGTTATCACTTTTGCCTTATGGCAAGGTGCTCCATCATCCTGGAATAGGCATTGGTCGTCACCAAACTGTTCTTGAATGGTGGGGAGAAGTTGCTCTTGGAGGATGTTTTTGTACCATTCTTTATTCATGGCTGTGTTCAAAATTGTGAGCGAGCCCACTCCCTTGGCTGAGACGCAACCCCACACATTAAAAGTCTCAGGATGCTTTACTGTTGGCATGACACAGGACTGATGGTAGCGCTCACCTTTTCCGGATGCCCCAAACAATCGGAAAGGGGATTCATCTGAGAAAATGACTTTACCCCAGTCCTCAGCAATCCAATCCCTGTACCTTTTGCAGAATATCAGTCTGTCCCTGATGTTTTTCCCGGAGAGAAGTGGCTTCTTTGCTGCCCTTCTTGACACCAGGCCATCCTCCAAAAGTCTTTGCCTCACTGTGCCTACAGATGCAATCACACCTGCCTGCTGCCATTCCTGAGCAAGCTCTGCACTGGTGGTGGCCCAATCACGCAGCTGAATCAACTTTAGGAGACGGTCCTGGCGCTTGCTGGACTTTCTTGGGCGCCCTGAAGCCTTATTCAAAACAATTGAACCTCTCTCCTTGAAGTTCTCGATGATTAGATAAATGGTTGATTTAGGTGCAATCTTAGTAGCAGCAATATCCTTGCTTGTGAATCCCTTTTTGTGCAGAGCCATGATGACTGCACGTGTTTCCTTGCAGGTAACCATGGTTAACAGAGGAAGAACAATGATTTCATGCACCACCCTCCTTTTAAAGCTTCCAGGCTCTTATTCTAACTCAATCAGCATGACAGAGTGGTCTCCGACCTTGTCCTTGTCAACACTGACACCTGTGAAACGGCTGAAAGGCAGTGGAAATGTTTGGGGGGGGTGAAGTTAATTCTATGGCAAAGAGGGACTTTGCAATTCATTGCAATTGATCTGATCACTCTTCATAACATTCTGGAGTATATGCAAATTGCTATTATATAAACTGAAGCAGCAGACTGTGTGAAAAATTAATATTTGTGTCATTCTGAAAACGTTTGGCCAGGACGTAGCTCAGGAAAACATAAGTAGAGAAAGATACACCTCAACATTGATGGGGATAAGCTCAGCGATGGTGTAGAATTAGTCATAGTCATAAATCCCTGGGCTTTCAAGTTTAGAGCTGTGGGAGAACCTGGACTTTTGCAGCACATCATAGCAGCCTCCACAATGCATTGATTTTGTAAATGTGTCAGCGGGTGTTAAAAGGTGCCAGCCACCTACTGACACACGAGCAGCCTATGGAGCTTCATTGATGCTGCACAGCAGATCAGTACAGTCAATTGAAAGAAGGCAATCTGCAACTCAGCTTAAGATCAAAAGAAGCAGGAATTTCCACTTTTACCACTTTTTATGCCCAAGCAGATATCCTGTAATTTCTACATCAAGTGTAATATGCACATTTCTTTCGAAACACACCCTGTGCAGTGTAAGTAAATTTCAGTAATTCCAGTAAGTTTTCTTCTCTTCATCTCTCATCCCAGCAAAACACACAGAAGATGGAACAAAACATGGGCAGACCGCCCTTGTTTGCATACCCAATGTTAATAAACCAGTATTTCATACATGTAAGAACAGATGTTACAAGCGTATCTGAGGCCAATGCAAAGCTATTTTTTAATTCTGGACATTTCTCTGCGTGCCTGTGTTCAGTCATTTCATTTGGGCTTCAATCTCTTAAAAACGCAGCAGGCTGCAGTTTTCTGGCATTGATGTTGGTCTTTTAAAGCAACAACTAAACAGGGCTGAATAAAAAGCAGATGTCATGAGATTTAAGGGATTTCTTTATGCACAGTGCTCTGAAACCGTGCAACCAGTTATCATACAGTTTAATGCTATATCATCATACCGAGAACCATGGTGACCTTAAAGTGACACTAAACTCTAGAGGTAAATCTTAAAAATGCATTCAAGTACCTTAACTATCAACAAAAATGTATCTTATTTGTGTATCACTCCGCTGTAGATCCTCAAATCATCTCTGAATTCATGCTGACACTGTTCTTCCTTCTGGAGGGGGGCTACTTTTGTTCCCCATGGTCCCTGTGTGTGTTGTAAAGCAGCCACGGCTCAAAGCTCACTCCCACTACCACTACCGTGATGGACTATAATCTCACATTTAGTTTACTAATTTGCATTGAGATTGTGAAATGGAGCAGGGAGAAGGCTTCCCGGCCTATCAGAAAGCTGGGCAGCGTGTCATTAACCACCCCCCTGGCTTCCTGATTAGCCGGGTAGCCAGCTCCATACTCCCTGGTGACTGAAGTTTGCGCTCAGATACATTTCCAAATTTAGACAGTCCCTGCAACAGGAATGTCATTTTTGGTGAGATATTCACGAAGAGCTCCTTCACACCACTGCCTCATCCACCTTATGTGCCTTGGTGAGCTGCAGTACCAATACTTTGAATGAGACCCCAATGAAACTCCACAATGCACCTGCATTGCAAGACAGAAATGTCAGCAGGCATGGTTTTAGGTTTGTGGTGCAGTAGGCAGCACTTTCAAATAAATGAGCGGCCTTAACACAATGTGCGACAATGCACATGCATTAACTGACCAGAGTGAATGGGTCCTTCAGCTTCTCACTAGAACACAAAGATCTGCTTAGATGGTTATAATGAAGGCTGCCACTCCCATTCACGGGTCTGGAAAGGGCAGGATGAAAAACAGCTACATTATCAGGACAGCAAAACGTCCCAAAAGGTTTGCTAAAATCATTGTTAAAGTATGTAGTTTACCTAAAAGGGACTGTTACATATTACATTACAAAAAGTTAGAGAACCTGTCATAATAGGAATCAGATACAAATCTGAATAGTATTTTTAAACTACTATAAAACTATTAGGTTTAGTTGTGAAATATTCATGTCGGTCTCTTTATTCAGCTTTACTTATTTTGCCTGTGTCAATGGACAAGGATGCAGATGGGCTGGGGCAAAGCTTCTTTGTCCTGAATAGCTGGGTGCAGTTTTCCTTAAGTGACCTAGCTCTATAAAGAAACCTGTGGTGACAGAAATATGTATGCTACCATTGCTGCCTTTCATCTCAGAATGCTAGTTGCCTGGCCATTTCTAGCTCACACACATTTTCTGAATCACTGATCTGGAATAAGCTTCTGAAGCAGGGCTGGAAAAATCCCAGGAGCCAGGTAGCCAATGCTCCTTAAACATTACAGGCAGCACCTAAAAGATTAAAGTTTTCTCCTAGTTGTTGCCAAAGGAGATGGCTGCTGGATTTGACAGACTGGTTCCTTAATTCTATATCAAATGTATCCACCCCTGGTCTAAATAATAATAATAATAAAAAAAAAAGTAAAATATTAAGGTTCTAAAAACAGACCCCTGATATTTCCCTTTTAAAATAAAAAAAAAAGAGATAACACAGAGAATCTCTTTTTCTGTAGCCCGTTAGTTATAAATGAACAGAAACCCTCTATGAGTGTTCCTGTTCATTCATAAAATGAGGACATGGTATGTTTACTATAACCACAATCATGAATGAACAGGAGGTGATGTAGATCACTTCCCATTCATTCATAATTGCGGATATACTAAACATACTCTGTCCTCAATTATTTACAAACACCCAGTGATCACTGATCGCTGAGTGTTTGTACCGCTCTCCATCCTGACACGCTGTCACTGGAGGCTCAGCGAGCGCTGCGCGGAAGAGAGCTCGGCCTCCTGTGACAGCTCTGGCGGTCTCCGCCCACACACCACTCTGCTGATCTGTGACAGCGGCCAAGCGCTGCGCTCTCCTCCCGCAGCGCTCGGCCGGCTGTCACAGTTTCTCTCCTCCCCGCTGGGACACAGAGCAGCACCCAGCGGGGAGGACAGAATACACAGATGCACCTCTGTATCGGCCAGAAAATGGCACTTTCGGCATTATGCCAAAGGTGTAATTTTCGGCGGCCGATATATCGGTGCATCCCTACTCCTGATCTCCATACTTATTCTAAAACACAATAAAACAAATTTTCGAAGCCACCAAATCAAAAAAGTCAGGCAACAAGCATTTTTCAAGGATGGGATGGTCACCAATAGCAGCCTACCTATTCTCTCACGACATGTCTCTTTAATAAAACGGTGTCTTAGAAAGTGCAAGGTCATAATTGAACTGAGCTTAAATTTTACTAGTCCTTTGTACAATATTGGCGCAACTGTGCGCATATTTCAGGAACAACAAAGAACATTCTTAGAACCTTATTTTAAAAAAACCTTCAAGCATATCTTAACTTTTTCTTTTCACCTTATTTATTTCCAATGTCGGCAATGATTCAGCATCGGTTTTCGCCAGCTGTAGTTTGTTCTCTGGTACATACAACTCCTTGACTTCGTAAGATGCGTCAACGGGCACGATATCCTATTTGTGTAGGAGAAATCAGAGAGGAATTAATGTTCTCAGCTGTAAAACAGATGCATCTAACTTATCAAGAAAGGGAGGTGAAACAACATGCACTATCAAAGTTCATATTGTTTTTCTTGCCTCTAGAGTTTAATATTTCTTACAATTTTCTTCAAGAATAATAATAAGTACAAGAGTTTTGTGGGTTTAGGTGAATATATTTTCTGGACGGAGCCCGTGGCTGGGATCATGGGAAGAACACAGATTCTTGCAATGCCCGGCCAATGAACTCAAAGAGGACTCCAGGGGAAATTCATAATGCACTGGACTGAAAAACATTCTGGGTCCACCGCGTTTCGCATTCATGTTTCTGCACCATCCTGAATATGTTTAATATACAGAACATAACAGAAAAAAAGAGAAGCCACTCGGCGGATCTCAACGTCGCACTGACTTACTGGAAACACCAAAGGCTGTGTAACAAGCAATGTTCTGGAAATTAAACAGAGACCATTACATCAACTTAAAATAAACAAACATCTTCAAATTCCTGAAGACTCAATATACTGAAAACATATACTTTAAATTGTTGCTCTGTCTCAGGAAAACTATCCTGTGTGTTTCCTTTAAACAAGGGATGAACTATTCAGAGCTGGACTCCAGCCATTTGTTCTTGTTTAAGATACTACTGGGAAGGGTTAGAACCTCTGTAAGGTATTTTATTGCTGTATAGGTCTGCATTGGTAATCATTTTTTTCTCATCTACCCGTAACATGTCCATTGGATATACTGCAGTGCTGGCCAAATCCAAGGAGCCGGGTATCCAATGCTCCTTAAAAATTACAGCTGGCACCTAACTGAAGTTTTCTCCAGTTGTTGTAGATGGAGCTGGCTCCTAAAAATTTCCTGCTGTTTCTGGGATTGAACAGACTGGCTCCTGAATTCCATATTCATTTGTCTACCCCTGACCTACTGCATATAAATAAAATAATAAGAAAACTCTACAATGGGCACTAAGAAAGCAACAAAAATTGTGGAATAGGAAAGGGTTAGAATCATTGCAGAGGCTGACAGTGCTGACCAGAAAAAGGATATTTTCTACAATTTGCAGAGAATTCAACTCAACTCCTACTGTGTCTCCAAAGGTCCCCATACACCTTGCGATCGTACGATAATTGCGGGAAATCCCACGATCGTACGATAATCGGCAGGTGTACGGAAGGCATGCAACCGTTTCCACTGTACGGTCGCACGTCTTTTGTCGAACCAGCATGCTAGAAAACCCGCCGAGAATTGTATGATTGTTGGCGGGTTAGTGGCGTGCTCGTTCGACAATTGCAGAATGGGCGGTGTGCGCCCGCGCACACAGCCTGTTCAGCATTGCGGTCATCGGAAGCGCGCCCCTCAGCAGGGCGGGCTTGCGATAATCGCAAGTACGATCTGCCTGTCCAAGATGGGCAGATAGTACAAGCTTTGAATTAGCTTACAGCCATCGCAAGGCAAAGGTCTTGCGATGATTGTAAGGTGTATGGGCACCTCAAGACAGGAAGGTAAGAAAAATTCCTGATTTTTCATTGTTTTGCACGTTTGTCACACTTTAAAGTTTCAGATCGTCAAACAAATTGAAATATTAGTCAAAGATAACACAACATGCAGTTTTTAAAGGAAGGTTTTTATTATTTAGGGAAACCAAAATCCAAACCCACATGGCCCTGTGTGAAAAAGTGTTTGCCCCCCCCACCCCGTTAAAACATAACTTAACTCTGGTTTATCACACCTGAGCTCAATTTCTCTAGCCACACCCAGGTCTGACACACCTGTCCAATCAAGAAATCACTTAAATAAGACTTGACTGACAAAGTGAAGTAGACCAAAAGATCCTCAAAAGCTACACATCATGCTCTATTTCCAGACTGATAGAGATCTATCAGTCTGGAAAAGGTTATAAAGCCATTTCTAAAGCTTTGGGACTCCAGCGAACCAAAGTGAGAGCCATTATCCACAAATGGCGAAAACATGGAACAGTGGTGAACCAACACAGGAGTGGGCGGCCAACCAAAATTACCCCAAGAGCGCAGCGACGACTCATCCAAGAGGTCACAAAAGACCCCACAACAACATCCAAAGAGCTGCAGGCCTCACTTGCCTCAGTTCAGGTCAGTGTTCATGACTCCACCATAAGAAAGAGACTGAGCAAAAATGGCCTGCATGGCAGAGTTCCAAGACGAAAACCGCTGCTGAGTAAAATATGGTGGTGGTAGTGTAATGGTCTGAGGCTGTTTTGCTGCTTCAGGACCTGAAAGACTTGCTGTGATAAATGGAACCATGAATTCTGCTGTCTACCAAAAAAAAATCCTGAAGGATAATGTGCGGCAATCTGTTCGTGACCTCAAGCTGAAGCGAACTTGGGTTCTGCAGCAGGACAATGATACATAACACACCAGCAAGTCCACCTCTGAATGGCTGAAGAAAAACAAAATGAAGACTTTGGAGTGGCCTAGTCAAAGTCCTGACCTGAATCCTATTGAGATGCTGTGGCATAACCTTAAAAAGGCGCTTCATGCTCGAAAACCTTCCAATGTGGCTGAGTTACAACAATTCTGCAAAGATGAGTGGACCAAAATTTCTGCACAGCGCTGTAACAGACTCATTGCAAGTTATCGCAAAAGCTGGATTGCAGTTCTTGCTGCTAAGGGTGGCCCAACCAGTTATTTGGTTTAGGGGGCAAACACTTTTTCACACATGGCCATGTGGGTTTGGATTTTGTTTTCCCTTAATAGTAAAAACCTTCCTTTAAAAACTGCATGTTGTGTTTACTTGTGTTGTCTTTGACTAATATTTAAATTTGTTTGATGATCTGAAACATTAACGTGTGACAAACGTGCAAAACAATCAAAAATCAGGAAGGGGGCCAACACTTTTTCACACAACTGTATACTGGCATACTGAAGTTCTAACTCTTCCCTAATCTACACCATCATACAAAGTATGTACATAAAAAAAAAATGGTCAAAAGGTTTTAACCCTTCCTCTCTCTAAACAATTTTAATTTAGTCTATGATCCTGTCTGCGATCCTATAGGAAAGCTTTCCATGGAAGTCAGGGAAAAATCTTCCAAACAGATACATAGTCAGCAATAAACTGACAGGCTCTATCCAACACAAAAACAAAACTTTTGGCTGAAGTTAGGCTTTAAAGCAGTGGTTCTCAACCTGTGTAACCTCAGGACCCACATTTGTCTTTAGTCATTAAGTTGCGACCCGAGTCGCACTGCAATGGAATGCACGGAATTAGGGTACCGCTCATTCCAGTGAGGACATACAAGCTGTGGGTGGCAGCGCAACACACCTCCCACACCAGAATGCACGGTACGTGTCAGCGGCGTAACCAACTTTTAACGCACTGTACTAGTGTGAACGGGCCCTCAAAAACACCGACATACATGCACAACCACAGACAGAATCTCACACACTCCCAAATTTATTTATTTTTTTTAAACATTTGTTTTAAGGTCCACCCAGTCTCCCTACCTTACAAGAACTGGAGTGGATCCCGGGGTCCAGTATGGTCTGCTGTTCTGCAAAAAAGCTCCAGCCATATGTGCATTGCTTGTATAGTTTCCTTGTGCGCCCTGTAGAGGTTCCGGGAGACAGAATGTGATGTCACTCCGGTCCAGGCACCTATACAGGACATGTGAGGGAGCTGTAAGCAATGCACAAATGGATGGAGTTCCCTAGCGGCCATAGCCCCATCTCATCCCACCTCAAGCTGACACTCTGTCGGACAGCATATTTTGAATGGCTGATTGGCAAGAGAACTGACAGTGCTGCGCTAGGGGAAGCCTGAGGAGCCTCTCACCGAGAAAAGTTGAAGGCATGCGACGACCCACTGACCACAGGGTTGCGACCCACCAGTTGAGAACCAAGGCTTTAAAGGATATCTATAGTCAAAAAAAGAGAAAATGTATTTCTCTATTGAATCTTCACAAGTTCTATCCAAATCCTAAATACCATATCGATCTAAAAGTTTGTAAACTTACTTATTGAAGATGCCCCTATGATGCAGTGACACCATTTCACTCAGCCCTGTGAATATGCACTTCCTTGTGTCACCACTGTAACTAAGCCCTCCCGTCTGAACTACAACTCAAAGTCTGAACAATGTAACATCATTGCTTGCTGGAAGCAATGCATGATGCGATATGTAGTGATGCAAAGCACACTGGAAATCCAGGAAGATGTTGATAGTGATGAGCAGACAGAAGGCAGCACTCACATTATCCAAATCAACTCTTAGTATGTATTCCTATTACAATGGTGATGTTTTAACAGGATAGCATATGCTGGAACTTTGCAACTCCTTTAATCATGAAATTGCTAGATAAATTATCTGTTTTTTGGTTAAAAAAAAAAAATAAAAAAAATCAAATCATACTACTTAAGAGGCCCATATACCTCCAATCAAGCCCAGTCCATAGGCGAAAATAATGTAAAAAAAAAAAAAAATATTAAAAAAAGAATGATAATAATACTTATAATATTATCTGGCCACTATTCCATGCCCCATCAAGTCACAGCTGAAAACATCTCAAGCAGGAACAATCACGGTAAGACCAAAAAATGCATTATGCTGTTATGTAAACTGCACAGTCAGTCAACATGGCATAGGGCAGAGGAGGGTACATACACTACATCTTTTTTAGGGTGCCCAACACTGGACTAGAAATTAGCTTCTCTCCCATTGCAAACAAAAGAGGTAAAAGGCAGTAGCTGGTTATAAACAGTTAGTTAAGCAACTGCATGATTTCAAACAATATCCTCCTTTCCGGAGGTCTCCTTTAAATTTATATATGAATATGTAAACCATTCAAAAATATCTGAAACCAGGCTGAGATTAAGGACACTTCCTTTATATAAAGCAGCATCAATGTTTGGCCTAGTAGTCCTAGAAACATACGCTTTCACACAAAAGACAGCTGAGGAAACAAAATTCATTAGAAAAAGATTCGTTTTCATTAA